GGGCCCCCCGGCCCCTTGCTGCCAGCACCCATCCCGCATCGGGACGGCCCCGGGAGGGCAGGCATGGGTGGGCTGTTGGGGAACACTCCTGGGATCCCCGTGAGCCCGTGGTCCACCCTCCTCCATCACCTGGTAGCGCCAGGAGAGCCAGGACTCAGGGAAGCCATGGCAGAGGCAGATGACGGGGCCGTGTCCCATCTCCACGAAGTGCAGCTGGACGCCGGGCTGGAAGGGACAGAGAGGCTTCAGTGGCTTGTGGGTCACACAGCTTCACCCCTCAACCCTCCACCCACCGCCAGTCACCGGGCGTGGGAGCCCACCCCCACCACCAGCCAGGCATCCTGGAGACACACGAGCATGTTTTGGATGGAGAAGACCTCAATGATGGGGTAGCTCAGTGTCCCCCACTCAGAGCGGCCCAGCCAGGAGGGTGGACAACCCAACAAGCCACCCCTCGGCTGGCACATCCTTGCACGGGGCTCAGCACCTACCCACCTGGCCCCACCAAGCCCGGGGACACCTCGTCACCGAGGCAGTCCCCTGCACCCTACCCGGATGGGCACATAGCCGTGGGTCACATCGGATGGATCACAGGCAGTCGGCAGTGGCTCTTCTTGGGTGAGAAGCTGCGGGGCGAGAAGCACGGGGTGAGGTCCTGAGCAAGCCTGGAGCTCCATGAGACATCCCCAACTACCCTGCGGCTGGTGGGACATCCATGCGTTTGAGGTGAACATGGCCTGGCAGGCCCAGAGGATGAGGTTTTTGGGGGGTGGGCAGGGTTTGCAGGAGATCACAGCCCCCATCCCACTCGTTTCCAAAGCCACCGCAAGCACTGTACCATGGCAAGACTCAGAAGCCCAAGATCATCCCTCCCGGCTCTCCAGAAGAGCAGAGGACAGAGGGGACCCAACCACCTCTACATGCCTGGATGCCCGAGAGCTCCTCCAGCTCCTTCAGGACGGTTTCGGTGTCCCTGACAAGGATGGTGGCCATGCCCATCTCCCGAGCCGGCTTCAAGTTCTCCCCGATGTCGTCCAGGAAGATGACCTGGAGATACACCAGCAAGAGCCGGGCTCGGCACTCTGGGGAAGGGCAGCCGCTGGGTTTGGCCAAGGACTTTGGGTGCCCCCTCCGTGCCCTGTTTTTGGGGTGGTGGCCAGACCTCCTGCGGCTTCGCCTGCAGCGCATCCAGGGCATAGGTGTAGATGTCAGGATCCGGCTTCTGCGCTCCAACGCGGCAGGACTCGATCACCAGGTCAAAGTGACGACGCAGAAGGTTCATCAGTGCGGCCGTGAAGAGCCGCCCACCGCTGTCGTCCACCCAGTTGTTGGTGAGGACACAGGTCTTAAATCCTAGCAAAGGGCAGAGCGGAGAGCGCTGGTTTTCCTACTCCAGTTCACCTGAGAACATTTGATTTCTCCTCTCCTCCCATTTCTCAGACCTTCCCAGCCTAAAACCTCCCGTTACAAGACTCCGTCCAGACCAGGACACCCAGCAGGAGATGAAGGGATGCTCAGCAGCAGCTTATACCCAATCTGTACATCCAGGAAAGCAAGGATCGACCCTCCCAATGCAAGCAGGACATGAGCAGGAGCTCGAGCGCACCGAGATGCCAAGGACTGAGCCGATGGACCGGCCACGGCGCGAGGCGCAGGGCTATGGTATTGTGCTAACGGCTGGCTGGGTGAGAATGTGTCTGATGGGTGGGACCAACCAGGGACCCCATGGTGAGACCGACCAGGGACCCCATGGTGAGACCGACTGGGA